ACCCTATGCTGTGCTATTGGAGAAAAGGTTTGTTTGCTTTCATACAATCTCAAGGGAAATGTTCAACCGGAGCCTTTCCACGTATCAAGACAGATTATGTTTCAGGATAAAAAGACCGTCCTCTAATAAGGCGCCTCTCCACTTTGCTTTCCATCTGATCCCCAGATTAGGGAGAAATTGAACTCAGTTTACATTACGTTTGCACAACACTTCTGTAATGTCTACGGGTTAGCTTTCATATTTTTCTCAAGTGTATATCGGCTTGAATCTCAGGTCTGGCAGGACAACTGTAGGCAGAGACAGCGATATGTTATAGTTTTGTACAACTTTGTCAGCTATCCAGATACTCTTATGAGGGTCTGTTACATTCCTAATAAATTGGATAAAACCCGTAATTTAAAAAAATAGAAAATGAAAAGAAAAAAAAATGTGGTCACTAGTAAAACATCTATTGAAATAATTACAAAACAATAATCCTATAACAGTAACCACATATTTTATTCATGCTGCAATGCATGCTGGGAACTCACAAACCATTAACATTTCAGAAATATGAAATGCTTTGTTCAGACAACTGTGTTTGACTGGACAGCATTTGGGGGAATTATCTTGGTCTGATATTGGTTTTTATGTACATTCCAGATAAATGCATTTTTTACTATTGGAAGCTCAAAAGGTTTCATGAACTGGAAAAATATATAGTTGCATTTGCTATGATTACAATGCTTATTAGTTAGTGTACTAAGCTAAAATATCCAGCACAACTTACATTTTGCATGCTTTGCGGTTAAAATATGTATCAGTAAATACAGTATTCTCCATATACAGGACCAGCAAGTGGCAGTTTTGTATGTTTATGATTATTTTCATTCTTTTTTCTTTGTATTAATGTATTTAAAAATAATAATAATTATTATTATTATTTAAATTAATTTTACATAACCAAGAGTCAATAATCTGTTCAACTATAAGAAATCTCTTATATTATACTATATAAGCCAAACTGAAGTACTGCTTAATTCATATAATTATGTGATTAGCTACAATGTGAAGATGTGACAATGACTTTTAATCAGGCATTATAACACAGTCCCAAGGGGATCGGATTCCTCAGGACATTAAGGACGAATTCCAAATGGCCCCATTGAAGGGCACTGTGGGAAGTGGATGCTCAGAGCCATTAGTGAAGTGTACATATGATGGTCACTTCAACGAATGAGTCACTTTGAAACCTGAGGTAGTTTACAAAAATTATGCAGACTGTCATCGTCTTTGTCATGCGCAGCACGTACGCATCAGTTAACGTCTTGAAAAACATGTTTTAGTGTTTCATGACCTTCAAGTAGACAGTGGGGATTAGAGGTGGATCTGACCTGCCCTCAGAAAAATGGCAGGCGGTGGCAAGGAAGATGGGGAAGATTTGATTAGTTGGGACCACTGAAATGGTGACAAGGAAATTGAAGTAGATGACACGGACAATTGCTAAAATGACAATGGGAGTAACCGAAAAGAAGGGCAAGAAAGCAGATGACGTACATTTTCTGAACAAAGTAGATTGTGTTGTGCTAATTAGTGCAGATGGGAGGTTATCGTTCTCAAGGAGCCTTGCCAAAACTCTCATTAATTGATGTTTTATCTGTCCTGTCTGTGTTGATGTAGTCGTATTTTATACACTTGCAACTTGCAGTCTTACTTGATGCAAGCGTTACTTTCCAACGTCGATTGCTAATTGAGCTTGGAAATAGGCTTAACAAAGGATTAAAAGATCTATGTTCCCTTTAATGTGACTTGGGTCCCTTTATAATTGTAGGGACCTGCTCAGGGACTCAGCAGGGCAGTCAAACGAAGAATTCATTTTACAGAACCCTAATTCACACACACAGACACACACACACACACCAGTGTGCTAATGTGCCTTGTCAGATAGACCAGCATTAATACCAGTCTCCATGTCTCTAGTATTCCCACTGCACCGAGTTACTGCTGTGTAATGTTACCCTTGGTGAATTACTCTAACTTTTAATGACCGAATTTCATCCCATTTTTTTCTCTCATCTTACATTCCAACTGATTGAAGTCATATTTTTATGTCATTTCAGATGCAGCAAATTTACTGTAGGGGTGCATGATTATGACACAAAATATAGAATTTTTTATATTGCAATAATTACAATGAATTATACAGTAATTAAAAGAATTTAGATTAAAGGGAGAGTTTTACAGATTTACTTTCCTCACGCTTGTTCCAAACCTGTATGAGTTTTTTCTTCTGTTAAACACAATATATTTTGAAGAATGTTGGTAACCAAACATTTGACGGCAGCCATTGACTTCCATAGTGTTTTTTGTTTAAATAGTTTAAATAGATGTTTACCTTTTATGGGCATTTTTACCTTTATAAAGCCATTTTTTTTCTAAACGTGTACGTCATCTTTTGAGTCAAATTCTTACATTTAATCAGTCAATTATAATAATAATACATTTAGGCTGTTACTAAACAGATGAAATCAGTATCAACAAAATTAATATTTGCATAAGTTGCATATGAAGTAGCATTTAGATGTATTTACACATGTTAATGCAGCTTAGAGGGACATGGAATGCTTTAACCTGCAGTTACAAATGCATAAATAATGTTTTGATATTTTAAACATGAAATGTTGAATACTGATATTTGAAATTATTTAAAGTGCTTTCCCTTGTGAAAAAGAAGTGCACTCAAGCATACTTTTATAAAGTGTACTTATTGCGGAAATAATATACTTTAAAAGAACACACGTAAGTGCAAATTAAATATACTATTTTCGCCGCTTAAGTACATTCTATTTGTAATTAATTTAAAATGAATCACATTTTAAAGTTATATTAAATGCAATAAGTTGAACCTTTGAGTGCTTTTTTTTAAACCACTGAAGTGGGACTTTTTAGTACATATTTATATGTACAATTATATGTTCATAATTGCTTCTAGTGTCTATAAAATATGGTTAAAGTGTACTACTAATGTACTGACAAGCAATTAATGGTAACTAAAATATGATTTAATGTCAGTTAACGATACACTTAAGTGTGAATTAAATGTAATGTTTTCGACCACCTAAATGCATTATTGGTACTATATTTTAAATATATTACAGTTTAAAATGACATTAATTGCAATTAGTTGAACTTTTCAGTGATATTTTTGAGCCACTTAAGTGGGACTTTAGTATATTTTAGAAAATATGGTAAATATGTACTTCTGAATAAGCAATTAATGCGAACTAAAATATACTTCAATGTCATATATCTCTGGCAATGAAGTTGAATTTTAGTATATTTAAAATAAAATAAAAATCTTAATTACCTAGTTACAATCAACACAAACACAACATGGAAAACATCATTCTGTATGATCTATAAGCCTGTTTCCTCATTGGGGACCTAAAAATGTCCACAAGGTCAAAATTTACTGGTATTACTATCCTTGTGGAGTCATAGCTGGATTTGATTGTTGACGATTTGGCATGATCTTGGATTGGTTGGTTTCTTCGAAGCTCATCCTGGACTTGCTGTCATAGCAACAGGTCCGTAAGCTTAAACCTGCTCGGGAGCAGGCTTATTTCATGTAAACAGGATTAGATCGCATCTTCTTAAGCAGAATTGATACTTAAAATCTGTCCGCTACCACCGCTACTTTATTACAAGAGTATCCTACTAATCCAGGGACAATAATTTAAAATAATAATCATTTAAAAATTAATTTAAATATAATATAATAATGTTGTGTAGCCTTTAATATTATAGACACAGCCAGTTTTACTCACTGAAAGATTTATTCGTCATAAAATTATTACTTCATAATTGTATTCGAGTCTTACACACATGCTATACAGATAATGTAGAGTCGTGCATTAATTTGAGTGGTGACAGCTATTATGGGAGTGGCTTGGTGGAGCGCAGGAGATGCAGATAACATGATCTTGACCCTTAAGAAATTTTAAATAATGCTGTCACGTAACAAATCTGTTAAAATTTAAAATTAAATGAATTGCTAATTACTACATTGAAATAAAAATGTAAAGCCTGTACAAATATTAGAAATCGTGAATATAAAGATGTATGTATCCCCCAATTGTAAGTCGCTTTGGATAAAAGCGTCTGCTAAATGACTAAATGTAAATGTAAATGTAAAGAGCCTAATTGGGAATCATGTAAAGAATTAAAATAAAATAAAAACAGTGCAAATTTCATTTATCTGTTATAACATTTATGTAGTTTTGTTCGCTTGGCTGTTTCCTTATAGAAGTCCAGAAATTGGTCAAGTTTTTTGTCAGGTGTCTTTTTTAATTATACGATGTCATTACGTTGCTGTCTTGCCGCCAGCCAATCACTGCATTGCTGATCGTGGTTTCGAGTATCGATACATAGCCCCTTTTAAACCAACCCATGAACGCGCAATTATCTCAGATAACTCAATCCAGCCATACTAATCATCAACAACAGGTGCGTTCGAAGAACCGAATTAGCCAGATCCTGATTAGCACGATGATATCATCTTGGATGTGACATTTCATCTCGGATGTAATAAGCGACGTACGAAGAACGGGTCCCTGGACTCATTTTGCTGTGTTTTCATCCCCATGTGTGATAATTGTCTTCCCAATTATCCTGTGTTCAAAAGCCCCAGTCCTTTCAGTTTGCATTTGTCGGTTATACTTGTTGGATGTCTCCCTTGTTTCCTGTGTCTCTTTGGATGATTAAAGACTCATTCGTGTTTACTCCAGCGTCTCCTCGTTCCCTCCTAGAGAGAGTGTGACACACACACTTAATACAAAAAAAATCAAGAAAATGATCATTCCATGTACAACAAATGAGAGTATGAGACCTTATTGTAAAACATTACCAAACTGTATTACTTGTACCCCTGGTTTCACAGACAAGGCTTAAGCCTAGCCCCGGACTAAAATGCAATTCTGAGCTGTTTCAACTGAAAGAAAATTGCACTGACTGATCTTTAAAAATATCAGTGCCTTTGTTTTGTCTCAAGATGCACACCAGTAATGTTTTTTAAGGCATGTTAATGAAAATGTCTTAAATGTCATTATTGAACTATGGCCTAATCCTGGCTTAGTCTAAGCCCTGTCTGTGAAACCAGGCCATGAAGTTCTTCAGACCACGTTTGAAGATGTCTAATTCAGTGCTTCACTTGTGACTGAGAACAATCCGGTTTTAGTCACAACGAGTTTCAGAGTGAACGCGCTTCACATCCCATCGTGAACAATAACGTCTGTCGTCACAGCCGCAGAGTCAACACGCTTCTCTGGAGGTCATGTGACGAGAGAGTGGTGCATGCTGGGAAGTGTAACGGACTCACACAGGAGATCTTGAAGGGGCCGAATGTCACAGGCTCATCTCCAAACAGCGGGAAGTAACGCTCACACTTTTTCTGCAGAGGAAAGCGAATGAAGAACGTGTTTGAGTCTGTGAGTCGAAGCTTTTACGACTAAAGCAGAGAATCAACAATGAAATAATTCTTACCCGCCCCATCTCAAACTCTCGACACGCCATCACGATGACCTGCGCAACAGAAGTCATGTGTCACATACGAGAACACACACACACAAACACACACACACACACACAGACACAGACACAGACACACTCACTCACTCACTCACTCTCACACAGTCTCTCTGTGGCAGCAGATTCACTCACCGTGACCTTGTATTCCCAGATCATCCTCCAGAAGTCCAGCACAGTGTTGGGTAGCGGCCCCTGAGTGGCGATGTAGGCCTCCGGCCCGCCGATGCCCTGAACACACACACACAGGATCAGATCTGACCAAACACGCCTAATCCTGGCTTAGTCTAAGCCCTGTCTGTGAAACCAGGCCATTAGTTCTCGCACCAACATTAAGCAGGACCGAAAATTTTGTTCTAAAATCTTACTCCAGCATTAATGAATGCAAGTTTGACTAAATAAATAAATTAATAATAAAAAAAAAAAACTCCTAATGAACGTGCTGGTAAGTACTGTTTGTCAATGTCCCAGAAGCTCTCCATCGGCAGTAAACTTCAAATGCCATGAAGCTGCACACCATCTCTCCACAGTATGTGTGAATGGAAATGTTCCAAAGAGGCAGGAAAGTCAGAAAAAAATACCTTGAGGAAAGAAAGAAAACAAACAAACAGAAGAACAACAATTGTTATAAAACATATCCTGCCATTATAAATGGTTCAGTTGAGTGAAAGCAATAGACACATGTAGCGTCTGGACTACTCCAACACACAATATATATTTTGTTAGCTAGCTTTCACAAATACTTTGTAACACCCCAGGACGCCGAACAAGACCCTGGTTTCATGGTAACCCGATACATTTACAACCTTGTGGAATGCGAGCCGGCTCTCTCCACAGTATGTGTGAATGGAAATGTTCCAAAGAGGCAGGAAAGTCAGAAAAAAATACCTTGAGGAAAGAAAGAAAAAAAACAAACAGAAGAACAACAATTGTTATAAAACATATCCTGCCATTATAAATGGTTCAGTTGAGTGAAAGCAATAGACACAGTTGCAGTCCAAAGTTTATATACACCTTGCAGTATCTGCAACATTTAAGCAGTAAGAGGGGTAGAGGGGTAGAATCATTAAAAAATGGCAATTTCTGCTCTGATGAAGCAGTTTATTCTTCAAGGTGTATGTAAACTTTTGACCACATCTGCATCACCTAAGAGATGAATTACCTCAATCAGGGCAACATCGTAGTAGAATGCTGGGAGATGTTTCTTCACATTTCCCATAAACAGCAGAATTCCACTAACCACACCATATTTACTGACACTGGGCTTTAAAAGTAGATAACATTTTAATAAACATTTTTATTCTTATTTTACAGGAAATAAAACATAACTTTATCAATTACCAAAAAACAGAAAAATATCCCAAAAAACATGAAAATGAAGAAAGGTATAACTTCAATTTTCTTTTCTCAACTTGCCTTGCAAGCTTCTCTCACACATCTTCATGAAGGATGTTCCTGTATTTACCACGGCTGGCACAGCATCCTTTGGTTTGTTACCTGTAAAATATATGATGATTAGAGGGGATATGTTAATGCACAGGTGGGAATATATTACTTGCAAATGGAAAAGATTCAAAGCATTTGACTTAATGGCACTTTTAGCTTGTAATGTGTGATCAGGGTGAGCTGACTGGGCAACAATTCATTAAAAAACTTCTAATATTACTTCTTCAGTACTGGCCTGTGTTTCCACACTGTAACTTATCTCCAGTAACAAAACTGTACTGATCCTGCAAAATGAATTAACTCCAGATAAGTAAAAAAATATTACATATTACAAACTCAAGCAGTAACGGAACATCTCGCTCTTCAAATGCAAAAAGAAAAAAACTAAAAACAAAAAAAACCCAGCATTATTTCTAGAGGTGGCTGATATATTGAATATTACTGGTGGTTATAATATCGATTATGTACATTAAATATTACAAAATCGGATCTTTGAATTTTGTTCAGTAGCGCTGAATTGAAATTTTAATCGTTTAGTTAAAATAAAATATTGTATTTTTAGCAGCCACATTTTTTGGTCCACACGTGCGTGATTCATTGTCTGCAGTACATAAAGTCTCATCTGTAATCATCCAAACGTGGCGCTCCTTTGTTCTCTTCTTGTTTGTTCCCTCACGCATCGCGATTACACAAACATGCCGCACAGCGCATTTTTCAAACTCTGGTGAAGTAGTGTGCCACCATGACATAGTATTTTGGCGCATGCGCATTAAACAAAAGAGACACTTGTGCATGGTTACGGGTTATTTCAAGCTTTCCATTTCTGTTCAAGTTCAAGTTGTTCTAATTCATTGTGTAGTTAGTCCAAAGACTATGGTTAGACTCATTCATGACTAATTCACCTAACTAAAAGTCATTTTTACAGTGCAGTGTAGCCTATTGTAACGGGGCTGACAAGACGTGAGACATGTGACAGGACAGACAAAGAGTTCCCAGACGACCTCCTTGGCCGGAACAGAACAGGCAGATCGTTCACTGACGGCCTCCTTGGCCGGAACAAGACAGACAGAGAGTTCATAGGTGGCCTCCTTGGCCGGGACAGAACAGACAGAGAGTTCATTGACGGCCTCCTTGGCCGGAACAGGACGAGCAGAGAGTTCATAGATGGCCTCCTTGGCCGGAACAGAACAGACAGAGAGTTCATAGGCGGCCTCCTTGGCCGGGACAGAACAGACAGAGAGTTCATTGACGGCCTCCTTGGGCGGAACAGGACGAGCAGAGTGTTCATAGACGGCCTCCTTGGCCGGAACAGACCAGACAGAGAGTTCAGCAAAGGTTTCTTCGACCCTGACATGACAGGTCGAATGTGCGTTTCTAGGCACCACCACCACGCAAGGAGCTGAAGCGAGCACCGCCACTTCGGAAGGTTCTGCAGCACGCGCTGCCACCTCTGGAGAAACTGCAGCGGGCACCATTGCCTCGGGGAACACAGCAGCGAGCACCACCACCTCAGGAGAGACTGTAGCTTCAGCCACCGACTCTGCAGACCTGATAGTGGGTGCTGCCGCCTCTGGGAGTTCTGTGGAGGTGTATGCAGCCCAAACGAAATGTAGTCCGGGGTGCTATGCAACAGTTTGTGTAGTGCGAGAGTCAATGTAATGGAAAGGGGGACATCTGGTGGTGAATAAACGGAAGTCCATGAACCGAATTCGTGACACCTATGATAGAAGCCAAATGTAGGCTATTTGAATGCAAATTAATTTTGTTTAGATTTGTTAAACTTTTGCTTGCATTTAATGCACTTAAATGTGTTTAATTGACGTAGAACAGCATACTGATATTTAAAGTATTCTGTTCTCAGATGTAAATGACAGTACTAAGTACAGTATGCTCTTAAATGACACTGTATGTCAAATATTATGTAGAAAATTAAACTTCATAGAGTTCATAGCGCAGGAGCTGGTGATGAAAATTTCAACAATAAATTTTATTGGAGTATACTGTATAACAGGGGTCTCCAACCTTTTTGTGAGTGAGGGCTCCCTAAAAAGAAACTAAAATAGTTTCAAGGGCTAATTGTTTGATATACACCAATACATATATATATATATATATATATATTAGGGGTGTAACGGTACACAAATATGACAGTTCGGTACG